ATACACACCCTATTTAATCAAATGAAACACAATAAAATTTAGAATACTACAAAATGATCATCAGTAAACAAAACAAGAAAAGTTTTTTCTCTGTCTGAACTCTTCTCTCTTTACCTTGATCTTGTTGCCATAATGACTTCATACATGAGAAGAAATTGTAAACAAGGTCAAAGAAAAAACAGCTATGGGAACTGTTTTAAATCTAAGTTAAGCATGTTCTTACTTGTTGTTTTGATATGTTGTTATCTTTTAGCACAGTATGGCTATTTAACCACTTTTGGTTAGAATTTGTGGTCTTCCCTATGTCTGCCTCGTGTCTTTGGGGGTTGGGTCTCGGTCCTCCACAGTCACTATTAAATATTCCATTGGAGAAATCTTGTATGTACACGCATGTTCACAACTGCTCACTAACAGGTGCTCTGATCGGGGGGAGTTCTGACAGGTCACTGAGTGTGTATATATGTCTATGTGTATATACGGACAATATTTATGAATGTAGGCATGTATGTATGTGTATCTTTAGATATGTATGGGTATGTGTGTATTTTATACATGCCCTCTATGTATTTATCCATTTATTTTTCAGGTGAGCGGACAGATGTTGGGTGTGTGGTCCTGTGTTTTGTTGGTGTATATTTAATATACTCCTAATCGCTATTTCAGTCTTTCTATCTTTCTAATTACTTCTCTCTATGTTTTTCTCTCTCTCTGTTTTCTCTTCACACACAAAAAACATAATGGTGTGGAGAYGATGGCTATAAGGGGAGAAGGGAGGCCATCAAAAAAGTAAAACAAAAAAAGAATTTGTGGAAAGAATAAAATAATATTTGCTGTAAAATACATTGCAGTTGTGTAGAAAAAAGCTTGAGCCTTTAAAGGCAGAACTAAGGAGTAACTCAGGAAACCACATCTAACAATATAGGATTTATCAAAAAGGAAATTCTTACGTCTAGTCTTAAAAGTAGACAGTGTCAGCCTCACAGASAGAAACTGGAAGTTGGTTCCACAAGAGAGGAGCTTGATAACTGAAAGCTCTGCCTCCCATTCTACTTTTAGAAACTCSAGGAACCACAAGTAAACCTGCAGTCTGAGAGRGAAGTGCTCTTTTAGGAAAATATGGAACAATAAGATCTTTAACATAACAGGATGTTTTGGTTTTGAGAGCTTAGTATGCTAGAAGTAAGATTTTATATTATGTTTTGAATTTTGTTGGTGTAGATTCTCAGACATTCAGGCCGGGACTTAACAAATCCTAAGAGTTTAAAATCACAGCAACTGGACTTGAAGATGTTTTACTTCCTGATGTTTCAGGGAGTTAGTGTGCCATGCCAAGATTTTCAGTAGCCCCCAATATGTCCACTGCATTTAAAACTTTTCTGGTGTGAAWAAAATAAAACAAAAATCTGCCCTCTGCACATTGCAGTAATGCTAAGTCCATGTTACGCCTGACACCAAATCAAATGCTAGAACAGTCTCTGAGACAAGACAATGCCAAGGATGAAAAAAAAAATTCACTTTATACTCAGTCAGGAAATATTTGCGAAAAAGCATTAGGG